AACAATCAAATCCCTTACTGGATTTAACCCAAAAAACCTAGGATTAGAGCAAAATGGTTCCATATGCAGATTAAAACAGAGAAACTTAGCCTAAAGGTACCATGACCAAGAGCACAAGCTATATGCATGCTTATTTTGGTTCCTACTGCTACTAGCATTAATATCTAGTTCAAGCAAGGTTTTTAACCTCACGTTTAGGAATCCGGATATTCACACTTGAATGTTGAGCAGAAACCGGATTAGGAGAATTAGCTTGTTGGTTTGATGAAGAGGTGAGTTGCGTCACAGAGCAACAAACTAGAGGGGTCGATTTTTCTCTTTGAACAATGAGCTTGGCGACGAGGTCTCCTGGGAGATCGATTTCGAGATTATAATCTGCCACAAGTTCAAGTATAGCTCTCAATCTTCCAGCATCTTTGTCTTTAGCCTGAAAGGAATAGGAACCAAACATATATTTGATTATCTCTAAGTAACTAACCAGTTACAAGATCAGGCCAGTGAACAAAATAATTAAACCTGGGAGGATTCAGTTGGTCTCTTTCCCAAAGCAGACTGTCTCAAATTTATCATCTCTTCCTTTAGGAGCTCTGAGGGTGAGAATGAGGACTCGTTATTAAGCTTAAACAAACATATAAGCCGGACTGCAGGAATATATTGCCTTCTCTTGATGAGCTCTTTAACAAACTCTGCAAATGATATTGAATTCAACGTTAAGCGATTAAAGAAAAGTGTGGTTGCGTAGATCGTATGGCTACAAAACTAACCTGGGATCATAAGGGTGAGACCAAGAGAGTCAAAGAGTGTTGGAGCCTGTTCGTATTGAGCAATAGACGAAGCAAGTAGAGCAGTTTCTTCTTGATTGATCAATTTCTTTAATCCATATGCCACAATGAACAGAAGAAAGGCCAAGGCCTCGAGAGATGATTTTGGAGCTTCAATTGTTATCTTCTCTTTCCACAGAGTTGCCACTTCTCTGGCCTTGAGCTGCAGTTGAGGAGACTCGTCCCGTCGTTGAATTTTGGCAAGCTCATCAAAAAGAAGAACAAAAATCGCCATGGACGAGTCCTCACCCGATCCTTCTCTAATTTCTTCCTGCACTAGATCCAGGACAAATTCTGCTGGATTAGGTGAAGCTCTAAGTTCACTGGAGACTTCATCTCGCAATAGATAAGCTGCGCTTTCATGATGCATGAGAGCAGCTTCTGCTGCATTTTGTTGGCTGGTGTCATTGTTAGGTGCTGCAGATGGCTGCTGATACTGCATGTCACAAAGTTCATTTCTTTGTACTTCAATCAGCTTCTGGACTTCTTCCAATTCTTTGGATTTCAAGTCAAGCTGTTCACCAGATATCTTTATGAGATCGTTTAATGCTTGGACCCTTTTTTCTTTCACCTCAATGTCAAATTTAACGAGCTTGCTTGATTCTCCAACACATTCCAACTCCATATCTTTAGAAACTAACTCCAATGACTGTATCTCAAGCAGTCTCCGTTGAGACTCCAGTTTCTCATCCACAGCCGCAAGCTGCTTTCCAGATTCTTCAATTTTGGAAAGGATCAGTTTCAAAT